ATGTTAACCAAGGCTGCGTCGAAATTGCATACTTCCCTACTATATAGTAGGTGAAAAACAGTACGTGACCTGAATTCACAGTACTCATAAAAGATGCAAAAAGCACCCGGATGATCTACTACTGCGAGATTCTGAAGTGTGCATATGATGGACACTTTACTATCCCATGAGGCCACGGGAGAGGATTTGTGAATGGAAGTGAAGCGACGTAACTGACTCTGGTAGGTCACATGACAATGACAACATTGCGAATGTAGTACAGTACCACACAAAAATAACATAAAATGCTAATGCAAATAAAATAAAATGCTAATTTAAGTGAGTGGTAGAGCATGGCAAAAGTAATCTAAAGTTAAAAATAGGGGAAATGAGCATACACTATTACTTACACTATTATGTAACCAGTTTGCCTAATAATGATACAAAAGTGTCACCCCCCTTTTTTTGAATATACATGAAAATGCACATTTCGAACTTAAATGGTTGTAATTCAAGAATGCTTTGGAATATAGACGTAGGATTGGTCTTGCTTTAAAGAAGACATTTAGCAGATTTTTGTAGAAGTGAAATAAATTGAGAAAGTGAAACAGAAAAACAGTTATAGAAGTTTGAGTTTATGAAAATGTACAATGTAAAAAAATATAAATGTAAAATAAAATATAAATTTTCAAAACCTGGGCGACTCTAAAACTGCAAAAAAAAAATCAAAGTTGTGTTTAAAATTTTAGGTTGATATCTCAAAAAATGAGCTTTCAGTAAGATTTTGTTTGTGCGCAGTACCAAACTTTTTCACTAGATGACAACCAGACTCCATTACTGCCCATATAAGGGCGCCTCCATTTCCATATGTGTTTTGAGTGATATGAACCATTATTTCCACAATTTTCATACAATTTATGAAGTAGACATCCTATTCAGAAGTAATATGAGAAGTTTGGCAGATTTTGATATGAATTCAACCTCTAAGAAACACATAAAAAGAACACGCATGTGCGTTATAGCTTCCTGCAACAAATGGTGAATCTATCATTTTTTTCTTTATATTTAAAAAAAAAAATCAGACTTTTTTTTCTAAAATAATTGAATGGATGCTATCTTTTGAACTCTTGGCATGAAAACAAACTGAGGTTTCTACCCTTCTTTCATGATTTTTCATGTTCATCACTATTTCAAAATAAAGGTCTAAACACGACAAAATCAATCACCAAATATGGAAACTAGCGATTGTAAGCTTTCAAATGATATATAGTTTGTCAAGATTAGTTTAGGTTTAGTATAGGATATTACTGTTTTAAAAATGTAATGGATTTGGGCCCACCGGTGGGCCGGTGACACTTAAGGGGTTAAATATTCTGATGTAACATAATACTGATATATTGTGCAATTCCTTCTAGTATCACAGAACTCATTTGATGTACTGCTTTTGGCATATTAGCCTATATAGTAGGCAAGTATCGGTTAATTCAATGGTCCACTTTAGACAGTCATATAAGTATAAGTAAGTAACTTTGCAACTACATGTCAACTAACTCTAGTAGGCTGTTGGGGTTCAGGTTAGTAGAATGTGTATTTGCAAAGATATTTAGTAGAATTGTTGTTGAGGGACCATTAAAATAATGTGTTAGCAGATATTAAACCGACAGTCTGCTAATCCTCTAATGAGAGTTAGTTGCAAAGTTACTTATTAGTTAGCAGGAAGTCTAAAGTGAACTTTCGAATTAAGTGTTACAGATATATTCATCCCTCTTTTACACGTTCTTAAACATTAAACATGCTTGGTTGCTTTAAATAAAGTTTTCAGTCAAATGGTCTAACTTATGCCCGTACACTTGTATGATTTTGGGCTGTCCCGGACGAAAGAAGACCAATCATGGCGATTTCTGTGGTCGTGGCTCCTAAACAGCGGTCCTCGTACAGTGAGAGAAGTTTAAAGACGGCAATGTCACAGTCTTGTGGCCAAAGACAGTCAGCGATTATTTTCTGACAGTGTCATAAATTTAGCATGATCATCTCACAGTGTGTTTGCCACGACCTACTGCCTAGCCAATGAAAATGCAACATGAAATGGCGTATTGATCAACAGACATGACGCTAAAACTTAACCCTCCTCAAGCTCCATTTACAAAATTGGCATTAGTCTAAAGTCTGGAAATGGCAGACCAGAATGACATTGACTCATTTGCAAAAAAGTCTCTGAAGCTGAAGCAAATGGCAGATGAGGGTTCAGAAGGGAGCCAATTCCGCCGAAATAATTTAGTTTGATATCCCTTATAGCTGGTTTATGAGTCATGTATCACTTTCATAAGAGTATATGGTGTGGGATATCTGTAAACCCGGATATCTGCCCGGCTAAAGACAAAGCAGAACGAATGAAGAAAGCAACGCTCGCGTTTAGCTTCAGAACAGAAGACTTGAAGCTATCTCTAAACCACAGACACGCTGAGTCACTTGTAGACGCTACTGAGCCTCTCTCTGAAGTAATGAAAGAGGTAATTGAATATTTAAGCACTTAATTAAATGTACTTTTTCATCAGAGTGGGAACAGTGCAGTGGCACTTACTGTCTTAAGTAGCTCTTAAAATAAAGTTCCTGCAGCTCTGAAGAAGAGCCTCTCTGATCAGCCGAAACGATACAGAAAGATCTGAGCGCACAGCTATCAGGGATACGCTTTTGCAGCCGCTGAATCACAGAGCTGGAATCCTCCCATCTTCATTTCCGAGGACTATTCGCATGACATTCACGTGGCAGCCGGGGAAGGATCGGAATTGACTCTAAGTGGCTGTTTGCACAACAGGAGGTGTCGCGCGATCGATTCGGGGATAATCAAGATGCGACAGTCACTTTCACCAAACTTAACTTCACTTGAGTTCTCTTTCAAGGTGGTAAAGACCGACGTCACCGATTCAATGACTAAAATATTGACCTCGCTGACGCTGACGACGTCACGGGTTTTTTTTTTAGAGCCAATAAGAAGCCTTCAAATTGGTAAGTAGTGTTGAAAAGTTGTGCATTTCCGTTTAATTTTTAAATGTATTAACAATAATAAATTCAATTTTCATTGAAATACAATATAATCATTCAGAAATAAAATGTAAATAATACGAATTAATTAAATTATAAAAATGTAATAACTATAAGAATAGACACATTTACAGTATTATTCATATATACAGTATATATATATAAATAAAATTCGTATATAAACATATATATAGCCTAATATATAATTTAATATAAATATATACTTTTCAAGTATGTATATTATATTTATTATTAATATGGTTACACACACACATATACTGTATATATATATATATATATATATATATATGATTGCATTTTATACTTATGTTTACAGTAGGATTTAAATAATATGAATAATCTTTTCTTTTTTTTTTAACACTGACGTAGTTAGAATGCTGCGACAGGATCAGTGGGGAAAAAGAAGTTCCCTCATCTGATCAGATGACATCATCAGTGACATCACAGGTTGATTGCATCTGCAGCAGCATTGTGAACTTTTGTAAAGACGTTTAGCCATTGACTTTTAAATGCATCATTATATTCAAAACACACGAGGAAAGTCTCCGCATGAAAGACCCAAGACTGGCAGGTAAACGTGCTACAACATTTCTCTCCGAGACGGCAAGAAATTATATTAGATTGAATGGAGGATTTTAACTGTGACGAGATGATTGGCAGGGCAGTTGCACGCGACAGATCTGTCCGTTAAAGATGACTAAGTAGTATGTAAATGGACTGCATTTGTTCCAAAAGTCCAAAAGCTTGCCTACTCTTTTGCTACACACTCAAAAGTATGTACTTTTTCTTCACAAAAAGAGTACTTACTTTTAGGGCGTAGAATAAGTAAGCGAATTGGGACGCAGCCTAACTGATCAGCAGTGTTGCCAATTTAGATTTTTACACCATTTTAGAGATTTTTTTTTCTCAAAAAAGTGACTAGCCTAGCAGCTTTTTGGACTGCTTGTTAACATTCAGTCAGTCACTATATCACACTTGTTCCGTTGCCTAACAATATGTAAATGAGAACAGCTTTATTTGACATTCGGCTGTATCGTGACAGCTGGCGCTTTACGTCATCTAGCGACATTCAACGACATTTTTCAGCAGGTTTGAGCTACTTTCCATTGAAAATATTTGGCAACACTGCTTATCAGGTAATCCCACTGATGACACAGAAGCTACTGACAGATGTCCCGTTTTCCACTAATTTATGGCGTTTTACAGTAAAATGTTCATTTAAACCTGCCCACCAAGCCATCGTTTCTGTCAGCAGTCGCTAGGCAACGCTCGTCACCTGCATTAGCCTGCACAAACCCGCGACGACCTCATTACTGAACTTATTTAAAGTGCTAAATTTCAGTAAGTGTTTCATAAATGCCCTCATTAATGTCATGTCACAGCGAAAAACAAAGATTTACTGATATTTTCTCTGCTAATTTATCTTTCTGTGGAAAAATAGGAGTTGGACTGAGCGCATCAAAACCCGTAAAGTTAGCCGTACGGACATCATCATGAGTGTGTGTGTGTGTGTGTGTGTGTGTGTCAACCTGTTAGACATGTCAAAAGTTCAACTCTCCCACCAAAATTTTCTCATTATTCTCTAATAACTGCCGTTTTTTTCCGTTCTCATCTCATCTGTGTCATCTTGAGTCTGTTTGGTCTTATCAGCATGTCACTGTTTATGATACCCGGGCAAAATATAGGCTGAGATGATTGATGTTTGTGATCGCTGCATGATTTTTATTTCGCTCAGTCTATTCAGAGCTCATTAGAGGAAAATCATATTGCAGCCGTTCAGGGGAAAAAAAAAACAAACAGTATCGGCAAAGTGAAATCTGTTCTCCATCACTGAACATCACATCTAAACTGGGGAGTGGGAGGGGGAGGTTTAAGCATGACACCTTTAAGTTGGAAATTCTCAGGAACAGGAAATAGATGAGGAAGGGAACAGGAAATGAACTGGGTAAGAAATTGATTGTGATGTTCTAGCAGAACCATTTAGGAAATATTCTGGGTTCATTTCAAGTTCAGCTCCATTAACAGCATTTCAGGCATAATGTCGATTTCAGCAGAAAATAATTTGGACTCGTCCTTCAGTTTTTTGAGGCACAAGCAAAAATGATGGATACAGTGAGGCATTTATAATGGAAATACAAGGGTTGGTAAACAATAATAATACATTTTTAGTGCTATCAAATTGATTAACTGTTGTTAATCACATCTAACATAAAAGTTTGTACATAGATACATTATTTACAATATTTTATGTTAGTTGCGATTAATCGTGATTAATTGATTTGACAGCACTATAAATTTAAATTTTGTAATGCGCCTTTCTCATACTCAAAGTGTTGAAATATATACTGTATATTAATATATACTATATACCATTAAAATATATACTGTAATGTATCATTATTATGATGAACTTCTTCCAAATAATTAAAGTTTTAGTTGTCCTTTTGTAGCAGTAGTTACAAATAATAAATAGTACTGTAGTAACTTGCATTTTTTTTTTTTTTTTTTTTTGATCCATCATCCAAACCGCTTGTACTATAGTGCCGTTACACTTATGATTCATTTTAATTTTAGTTTATTTTGTATTTTACTTTTTAATTTAAATTTATTTTACTTTTTATTATTATCATTTTATTTGGTAATTGTATTATTAATTATAATTATTAACTAAATAAAATTAGTTTTATGTTTTAATTATTTTATTTTTTATTTTATGTGACAATTCACATTGTGCCACAAAATATTCCTTAGTTATTATTTGACACTTATGTTTGCTCGAAACAGATTTATTCTACAGCCTTTGACAACATTCCCAGAGCTCTTGGAAAAGCAGTTCAGCAGTTTCAGCTGGGATGTGGTGATCTCCTCTTTGAAGAAGTGCCAGGTAGGAACGGGGGAAAATCTCCATTGCAAATGTGAACTCAACATCTTGCTGATGCTAACATTTTTTCTCCTGTAAAGGTATTTATATAAGTACAGTAAGGAACCTGCTAATGAAGTCTGTAGACATCAGTTTTCAGATTTCAATGGGTAATGAGGGAATTTCATAATCAGGGGTAGCAGATTAGCATCAGGTTTGGTTTTTCATACACTGACTGACAAAAAAAAAACTCTAGAAAAGAAAGATTTTATAAACAAAACTGCTGTTAAACTAGTTGCAGTTCTGATTGCGAAGTATAAAAATGACGTTTATATATAATGCTTAGTTGAAAAGGCTGGTCTGAATGTGTGTTTCTGGTAAGTGCAACCATCATTTCTGGCCTTGTGATTTTTATCTGCTAATGAGCAGATGTAAGAAGGCAGGATTGATTCATTACTCACATTAAGTCCTACTGCGCTCTTTAATTTGAGCTCGTCAATGTCAGCTTGAAATTTGATTGTGCATCAGAACTGACAGTTTTCTGTAATGATCACAAGCAAAGCACTTCAAAGAGAGGATCAGAGATAGGTGTCTCCAGGTCGACATGGAGCAGTGTATCAGATGCGTCTAACGTCTATGATGTGAGGCATTTCAGGGTGAATCCATATCTAGCAGGAAAAAATGACGGGCGGGACTTTGGCGGGAATCCATTGGTATTTGGTGAAATTTACTGATAAAACACTGCTTGGTTATTTCTTAGACCAGAGACGTGTGTAAAATGGAAACTTGGAGAAACAGCTACACCCCAGACATCAGAATCCAATATGGCTGCTCAGCACATCAGCCCCAGTAAAACAGTAGTAATATATTGTTTATTAGCACTTCTATTTGTTTCTCTATAAACACAGTGGTCCACACAGTACTATACAACCTCTATTTGTGGAATAATACTTAATACTTTGGCATTATCTGTGCAAAATACCATGTTTTTTATGTGTTTGTATTCCGAAAGAGCAAGCACAACAAAAAGAAAGTTTGCCTGAACGTGTCTGTGACTGGTCCTACTTGCACCGCTCAGAGCGGGATTCGAACCAGCGTCACTGACATGGGAGGCGCGTTAACAAGGACGCTAAAGTCCGCAGTAGCTAGTGTGCCTCTTGAGATTTTTACCTGCCCAGCTGTTTACTAGCTGGCCTCTGTTACACTCACCCCCCTAAACGTCACTCCCACCCGGGTCACGGCACCAATGTGACTGGTCCTACTCGCCCCGTTCCGAGCGGGATTCAAACGAGTGTCACCAGCATGGGAGGTGGGTATGTTAACAAGGACGCTAAAGTCCGCAGTCTCTGGTGTCAGTTGCTAGTGTGCCTCTTGAGATTTTGACCTGCACAGCTGTTTACTAGCTGGCCTCTGTTACACTCACTCCCATTAGGGTCACGGCACCAATGTGACTGGTTTTACTTGCTCCATTCCGAGCGGGATTCCAACCAGCATCACCGGCATGGGAGGTGGGCGAGCAAACAAGGACGTTAGAGACCGCAGCCTCTAGGGTCAGTCACTAGTGCGCCTCTTGAGGCCAGGGGAGCGAGGTTTCCCTGCCCAGGGTTTTACTAGATGGCCTCCCTTACACTCATTCCCATCTGGGTCACGGCACCAATGTGACTGAACCCATAGCAAACCACAACCATCCAATAAATGGACAAAATCAAGTCTCTCTCTACAATGATTTCTTGTTCAAGAAGCCATTAGTATACATCACAATAGGGATGAAAAGACTATCACAACTTGCGTTTCATGCCGACTTAACTCAAACATGAATTTGCCTCCTAATTTCAGAACGCCACTGCACGCCACTGCTCTGTAGAGCACAAAGCACTCACTCACTCATCTGCATCACTTTCAGCCGCGGCCCCAGCTGGGGGTCGCGGGGTCACTGTGTTGTGGGTTCAGTGGTAGAGCAGCGATTGTAAAACCTGCTCTCCATCTCTGCAGGCTACAGCCGCACGTTTCCTTCCATCAGCGGAGGAGAGAGAGAGAGAGAGAGAGGCCGAGCGAGCAGATGGAGGGAAGGTAAACTCTCTGTAGGGAGGAGTTTTTGAACTGCTGTAAGAAAACCTGCAATTTTATGCCTGTTACTGGACTGCATCGCAATGCAGAGGCTGATGCCATTGTTTAAACTACATCCCTGTGCTTGTTTTTCAGCTGATATAGGGCTAGTTGTCGCAACATCACAAAACTATAAGGTTATTTGTCCATTTACGCAAATTCTTGTTTGTCTGTTCAGTTTTTTACATGTCTGACTCAATGTTGAGAAATATATTTGAATTATCTTCATTTGAGGGCAATTTTGAGCTAATAATGAAATGCTTTTTGATTAACCATCACATCAATAAGGATTAGAGTTTTGGGCCAGCTGACAAAACTTTGACGCATAAAATCCCTGTTTAATTTTTAATAACTTTAAAGCTTTCAGCTATCATTGCAAATTTCAATTGAAAAAACAACAACTTTTTCAACAAGAAAAATGTTTTAGCACTTAAAATATAATATAATATAAAATTAAACATTTTTTATTATAAATTTAAATATAAAAGTATACATTTTAAAAAAAATGTGATCAAAAATACATTTGATGTGAAAAATTTACAATAGATTACTATTTTAAGCTATTTAAAATGACATTTTAAAAATGTTAATTATACCTTAAATGTAAATCTAAAAATTACAAATTCATTGAATGATATTGTGTGTGTGTGTGTGTGTGTGTGTGTGTGTGTGTGTGTGTGTGTGTGTGTGTGTGTGTGTGTGTGTGTGTGTGTGTGTGTGTGTGTGTGTGCGCCTGTGTGTGTTGAAAACAGTGAATAATTTGGCAAATCAAGCCAAAATCTGATCTATCCTGACCGAACAAGTATAAATATTCTTTACTGCTGAACCCTTCATGTAGTGAATTTGATTAAAATTTTAAATCGTTAAGCAACTCTATGTATTTTATTCATGAAACGTTTTATAAAAACATGACGTCCTAGAATACCCCTATTTTTTTATTTTATTTTTCGGTTTCAGCCAACTTCTGGGGACAATTTTGTCCCCAAAGTATAGCTAAATACCGCACTTACTCAGATACACACTTGTCTACACAGTGGGAGCTTTCCAAATCTATAGCGGGGCCATTTCGCCTCGTAAAACAGCAGCGGCGTCAGAGTATTCCTGGCAGGGGTTATTTCTCATCCGCTTGGCTGGAAGAGCTGTGTGATATTACAGGGGTTCCACAGTAAATAAACCTCATATAGATGAATTTCAGCGGTGTGATATTCCTCTGGATAATTTATTCTTTTGTTTGTGTCTTTGACTGTGGATTTGCATATTTTGATTGTTTTTGCTTCTGTGGGTGAGTGAACGACAGCTCCAGAGATTTTCACCTCACAGCTGCCATGGTTATCTTGCTTTCCACTCCAAATGTGTGTGGTTTTTAAAAGCTCATAAATGATATATATTTATTTAGCGAAGGTGAAGTGTCATTTTTTCGGTAGTAAAACACTTTCATGTCTCTGCTTAATTTGCAGGGACAACTAGAAGTCATCCGGTGGATGATTTTCTTAAAAAACTTAAACACTGTGACTGTGGATTTAACACAATATGACACAGCAATATTGACTCTCAAATTTGTGTGAATCAGGGGCGTGTCACAGTCTTCGTCTGCACCTGTCTGTCTTAGTCATCTTCACTACACTTCCCAGCATCCTCTTGTCTCCACACCTGAATTCACTCCCTCAATCATCCACCTGTTCATCGTCTTAATCATCTGTGTCACCTGTCCTCACCTCGTTAGTGGTCGTTTGTATCTGTATTTAGTTCTCTCTGTTCAGTCTGTCTTGGTCGGTTCTTGTATATGTTACGTGTTAATGTGAGTTACCTTTTGCCTGTCAACCTGCCTGTACCTGTTTGTTGTTTTGGAGATCTTAGTAAATGTTGGAATTGGAGCCTTGTCTCAGCCTCTTCTTCATCCTGCACCATAACTCGTGACAGAAGAACCGACCAAGTAAAGAGTCAGCATGGGAATTCTTCTCACCCCGGTTAACCCAGCTCACTCTCCATTCACCCCAGCCGATCGTCTGGTCCATTGTTTTCAAGACGGTAGCCCAATTGAGGAATATGTGGAAAAATTCCTTGAAATATCCCACCTCGTGGACTGGACTGACGATGCGCTGAAGACCGTATTCTGGTGTGGTCTGGATGAACCTTTGTACCAGCAAGCTCCAGCAACGGCAAACCCAGGTTCGTTTGCCCGGTACCTAGATCATGTGCTGTGGTTGTGTGGCTCAACCTTCACCATTGGTGAGGCTGATGACATTGCCACACAATCACCTTCTCCAGCCATCTCCATCACGCCCACCATCAAACCAGCCACCGGATCGGTATATGGACGTCCTGGACTGGTTTCTTGCATCGCCGATCCCCCATTTATATCAGCACGTACTGCCAGGAAGGCCATACTCTCAGAGACCGTCCAGCCAGAGACCGTCCAGCCAGAGACCGTCCAGCCAGAGACCGTCCAGCCAGAGACCATCCAGCCAGAGACCGACCGTCCAGCCAGAGACCGTCAGTCCAGAACCCTCACCGCTGGTTCCGTCCAGTCCAGCCAGAGCTTCACGTCAGCCACGTCCAGCCAGAGCTTCACGTCAGCCACGTCCAGCCAGAGACCGTCAGTCCAGAACCCTCACCGCTGGTTCCGTCCAGTCCAGCCAGAGCTTCACGTCAGCCACGTCCAGCCAGAGCTTCACGTCAGCCACGTCTAGCCTGAGCTTCACGTCAGCCACGCCGAGCCTGAGCTTCCCTGCAGCCCTGCCGAGCCTGAGCTTCCCTGCAGCCCTGCCGAGCCTGAGCTTCCCTGCAGCCCTGCCGAGCCTGAGCTTCCCTGCAGCCCTGCCGAGCCTGAGCTTCCCTGCAGCCCTGCCGAGCCTGAGCTTCCCTGCAGCCCTGCCGAGCCTGAGCTTCCCTGCAGCCCTGCCGAGCCTGAGCTTCCCTGCAGCCCTGCCGAGCCTGAGCCTTCCCTGCAGCCCTGCCGAGCCTGAGCTCCCCTGCAGCCCTGCCGAGCCTGAGCTTCCCTGCAGCCCTGCCGAGCCTGAGCCTTCCCTGCAGCCCTGCCGAGCCTGAGCCTTCCCTGCAGCCCTGCCGAGCCTGAGCCTTCCCTGCAGCCCTGCCGAGCCTGAGCTTCCCTGCAGCCCTGCCGAGCCTGAGCCTTCTCCGCTGGTCCCGTCCAGCCCTTCAGAGCCTTCACCACTGGTCCCATCCAGCATAGCCGGGCCTTCACCGCTGGTTCCGTCCGGCCCAGAGACTTGTAATGACTCTGTCACTCTCCCCATTAATTTTTTTTGGGGGGGGGGGGCATAGGCCACCCGAAGGGGCTTCTCCGCCATGGCCGCCCGAAGGGTCCTCACCACCATGGCCGCCCGAAGGGTCCTCACCACCATGGCCGCCCGAAGGGTCCTCACCACCATGGCCGCCCGAAGGGTCCTCACCACCATGGCCGCCTGAAGGGTCTCCACCGCCCTGGATGCCCGAGGGTCCGACAGTTCCACCCTGGACGCCCGAGGGTTCGTCTGCTCAGCCCTGGCCACGCCCATGTCCTGCTCCGCCCTGGCCACGTCCTGCTCCGCCCTGGCCACGCCCACGTCCTGCTCCGCCCTGGCCACGCCCACGTCCTGCTCCGCCATGGCCACGCCCACGTCCTGCTCTGCCATGGCCGCCTGCACTTCCTGATCCGCCCTGGAGGCTTCCCGTCCCAGTTTGGCCACGCCCTGGCCAGCCTTCAGGGCGCCCGCCCCCCCACCCCATTGATGTTCTACGGCGCGAGGTCGCGCCTTGTTAAAGGGGGGCATTCTGTCACAGTCTTCGTCTGCACCTGTCTGTCTTAGTCATCTTCACTACACTTCCCAGCATCCTCTTGTCTCCACACCTGAATTCACTCCCTCAATCATCCACCTGTTCATCGTCTTAATCATCTGTGTCACCTGTCCTCACCTCGTTAGTGGTCGTTTGTATCTGTATTTAGTTCTCTCTGTTCAGTCTGTCTTGGTCGGTTCTTGTATATGTTACGTGTTAATGTGAGTTACCTTTTGCCTGTCAACCTGCCTGTACCTGTTTGTTGTTTTGGAGATCTTAGTAAATGTTGGAATTGGAGCCTTGTCTCAGCCTCTTCTTCATCCTGCACCATAACTCGTGACAGGGCGGGGCTACCTGTTTTGCTGACCAATGACAGATGGGGTCAATATTTTTGCAATTCAGTTTGGCGATGCTATATATATATATATACTTTAAAAAACATTAGGGAGGTGTCACAAATGTGCTGTCTGCAGCTTGAACTGTGTTGTTTGAGTGTGTGTCTGTTACACTGGCTATGTCTTCCCGTCATCAGGGAAAGATTTTGGCTCCCGATCATCATAATTATGGTCTTATAGTGTTCCAGTCGGAAATGCCAAGACTGAAACCAGTAATAGTTTAGACTGTTTTGTTTTGTAGAGTCACCTCTGAAATGTGACCTGAAACGACAGTTAAGGGTATTGCCATTGTTTTGTTAAAAAACTTTCTCTTGTCACATAGGCAAATATAGGACCATTCTTGAATGATTTCCCTTGAAATTGTAAACACCTTTTTTTTCTCTCCGTGGTGCAACTCAAGCAGCCCACTCAACCAATGGCGAGAGTCGAAGAGGCGGAGCTATCCGTTTGTTTCGACCAATGACAGGCAAGAGGAGCGTTGCCTGACAGCACATGTACAAATGTAAGTTGAATACTTTCCACTATTTATTATATTTTAATGTTGACAATATTTAAGACAATGTTTCAATGTTTGTAAATATGTCAATGTTTGTAAATAATTTTTGACAATGTTTAAATTATTATGATGTACATAAGTTAGCTGCAACATACCATCATGTACAGAGTTAATCAGTAATAAATAAGTAATAAATAAGTAATCAATAGTATTTTAATATTTGTATTATTTTCCAGCAAATGTGTTTATGAATTGTATATGTCTTGGGATTTCCTGTACAATTTCCTAATAACTGTACGATTTTCAGGTATGATTACAAATTTAATTCTGTAAAAAAAA